CCCTGGCGCTCGCAGCTCCAAGCCCGGGGAGGTGCCGAGGCTCGGGGACTTGCTGGGCCGGATGAAAAGAAGCAGCGTGCCACATCCAGGCCTGCGGGGGCCCCCCTTAGCCCGAGGCCCTGGGCTGCAGCCCCTGCATTAATCCAGCCCGGGGAGTGAGGACAACTGATGTCACTTCCCCTCCGTTCTAGGTTCCTCCAGCTTGCTGGAAAGGTCTTGTGCTAGGACGTGAGTCAAGCAACCTCCCTTGTGTCTTCGTTGGCCACGGATCCCGTGACGGTCCTAAGCCGTGTGGATTCCCCTTCCCGGGCCGGCCACGCTGTGGTACCTGAACGGCTGGTTGTGGGTGTTCCCAACCTCGCAACCTATTTCAATAACATCCCCCTAGCCAACTTCCTAACTTCCTACAGTCCAATGGGATCTTAATGGTCGGCAGAGCGAGACCTCACCAGGCAGTACACAGCCGAGCATAAGTACAGGGCAGTGGTGAATATGGGGGTGCCAGCGTACTGTTTTGAGGTGTATAGTGCCCCCCCTTCCCTCCGCTGGGGGTGTTGAGTTGGTCCCGTAGATCCCTGCCGGGGGCAGGAGGTTGAAGTGCTGCGCTTTCTTTGTAGGTGGTGGCCTGGGGGGCACCCGGAGGGGTGGTGCAGATGTCAACATCAGGCACTCCGGCCGAGACGACACCTCCAGATACGACGAGCGGTGAGTGGGGGGCAGACTGTGCCCCAGGGGACCCCGTGTCCCCAGCCCATGTTGGCCAGACCCCCTGCCAAGGGGTATGGTGGGGTGGGGCCTAGAGGAGAGTTTGGGGGAAGGACAGTGATGACCCAGTGCATTGTGGGAGCGTGGAGGGCTATGGGTGTCTGCAGTGCCCCCTATCCCAGTGCATTGTGGGAGCGTGGTGGGCCATGGGCCTGTCCGCTGCCTCGCCCTGCAGAGATGGGGTGCCTGGATGGCCCAGGGGCTGGGCCAGCTGTGTGACGCCCGGGGCCCCTCTCCCCGCAGGGACCGGGAGCGTGAGCGGGACCGGCGGGACCGGAGCCGGGAGCGGGACAAGGAGCGGGAGCGCCGGCGCAGCCGGTCCAGGGAGCGCCGGCGCCGCACCCGCAGCCGGGAGAAGGAGGAGCGGAAGCGGAGCCGGGAGCGCAGCAAGGATAAGGACAAGGAGCGGGAGCGGAAGCGGCACAGCCGCAGCCGGGAGCGCAAACGGGACCGGGACCGGGAACGTGACAAGAAGGAGGAGCTGCCCGAGGGGGGGGATGCCCAGGCCGAGGAGGTGGCGCTGGGCGAGCTGGGCCTGGACAGGCTGGAGCTGAAGCTGGAGGGCGAGGAGAAGGGCAGGGACAGGGACAGGGACAGGGAACGGGACCGCCGGCGCAGCCACCGGGACCGCGACAAGGACAGGGACAGGGAGAGGGACAGGGAGCGCCGGCGGGAGCGGGAGCGGGACCGGGAGCACAAACGGGAGCGGGGCGAGCGCGGCGAGCGGGGGGCCGAGAAGCGGGACGAACGGGCCGGCCAGGACAACGGCATGGCCGAGCCGCTGGAGGAGACCAGCCAGGACATGTTCCTGGACCAGGAGTCCATGCAGTCCGGAGACGGCTACATGTCCACGGAGAACGGGTACCTGCTGGAGCCGCCCCTGGAGTGAGGGGCGTCCCCTGCCCCCAGACGGGGGGCCAGCCCCCAGCCCGGCCTGGCCACCTCCCTTTTTTTTTTTTAGGTTGGGTAAGTTTTTGTCCCCCCAGTTTCTGTAGTGTGCCCCCCCCCCCCATGCCACAAGTCTGTATAAAGCCCCGCGCGGCTACATCTGCTTTTCTTTAACCACAATAAAAGGGTTTTAATGGTTCTGCCGCGAGGTGCTGTTATGGGGGGGCTGGGCTAGGACTGGCCAGAGCAGCGGGCCCTGGGACCCGGGGGTCAGCCCTATGCCTTGGCAGGTCCCTCCTGGCCCCACACTTTCCCCTCAATGAGCAGCCCCAAATGGTGGGCACCAGAACTGGGCCCAGGGTCCAGCCACATCGCACCAGGGCCAAACCGCCTCTGGCAGGGCTCGGGATTCCCCCGTGCGGCATCGTCCAGGGTCCCTGCCTCCGAGGAGCGTCCCCGTCCCCCCCACGGTCACCGCGCTCTGCCCCCCCCCAAGGCAGCCTTAGCCAGCGGCGCCCCCCACCCCAGTCTCTGACCCATCCTCTGCCGTGTTCCCGGCACCCCCAGGCAGGCGCGGGGCCCACGGTGTTTCCAGCCGGGCCACTGCTGTCTGGCCAGGCTCCCTGTCGGG